AGAAAAAGAGAATATTTGGAACAAAAAAAAATTTCGCGTGTCATGTGGCTATATAGGAATTTCGAGTTTCAAGTAGTGGAGACTCCTTTCCTTTTTCTTTTTCTCATGTCATGTGGCTACATAGGAATTTCGAGTGCCAAGTAATGGAGACTCCTTTCCTTTTTCTCTTTCTTTACACATTTTTAGGTTTTGATACGGGAGTTAACCCAAAAAAAAGGGAAAAAACTAACCAAAAAAAAAGGGAAAAAACAAATATTATTACCGAAAATAAATAGGCGGTTACAATCAACACACTTCAAAGGGAAAATATAACAAAACGACACAAGCATACTCCACTAAAGTGTATCCCAAGAGTGGTGAAGGTCGGCTAAGTGGATCAGAATGGTCGGAGGGTGTAGCAACAACAAATAAATGCTGGTGACAGTAAGCGTAGTGCGGGGCTAGAGAGCTAGCCGGCTGGCAAAAGAAAGGAACCAGTTTGCCGATTCTCTAAAGCCCCTGTCCATCTCCCAGCTAGACCAAGCGGTTATTTGGGAAGGGTGGCGCTTCCGCCAGAACTTCCCCCCTTCCTTTCTTGTCTCTTTCCTTATGGGAGTCTTTTTAATTGTTGCTTGAATGAATTATGGCATGTATTGTTGCGTTGTTGTTTTAGATTTGGAGCCTCCTTCTCCCTTGTTAGGGTTCTCTCCAACGATGGGTGGTGCTTCAGTTGCATTGTGCTTCGAGGTGGTGTTATATCATCTCTTATCTTCTTCCCTACCGTTTCCCCTTAACCTTCCTTAGTCGTTGACCACTCCATCTCCTTCCAACTGCTCTGCCACCCCCTTCAACTGCTGTAAGCCTGCTGCCCAACCCTCCAATTCACATCCCAGCAACCAGTTCTCTTTCCCCAGCAGCCGCCATTGCTGTCCAGCCGTCCACCACCCTCCTACATCCAACCAGCCCTCTACAGCAGTTTTCCTTGTTGACTGGCTCGTCCCTCCACCATCCAGCACCCTTCCCATTCCTTCCCTGCAGCTTTCCTTGTTGCCACACACTTCCAACCCTCAAACCAGCCATTAGCCCTCTCTCTAACCTACCCTACAGCCCTCAACCCTTCCCTTTCCCCTTGCCGCTTTGCAAGCGCCATCACTGCCCTTGGATCTTTGTTTCCAGCCATAGCAGGAGGTGGTTGTTATTGTATCATGTTTCTTTTTTGAGTTGTCTATAACCCTAATTCAGTTGCTAGTAAAAATTTGTTTTCATTTAAGCTGATTCATGAACTAGTTCTGGCATTATTTGATATCAAAACGAGCCTAACCCTAGTCATACCCTAGTGTTTCCTAGCATCTGCCATAAACCAAAAATTATCTTTCCTACAACCAAACACCCTTCCCACTTCCACAAATCCCAAACCTTAACCATGCCATCAAAAAGATAAAGCGAGAGCTTTGCCTCCTTCAACAAAGGATTGTAGATATTGAAGAGATGACCCAGCGGGAGGTTACCCTCGACCGAGATTTGAAGGGAAGAAAGAGAGGAGGATTTGAATCACTTCCATTGGAAGAATTACAGCAATGAAGAAGATAGGCCACGGCGTTTCGAAATCCAGTATCAGGGAGTCCTAGAGAAGAGTATTTGAAACCCTTCCATAAGGAGAATTTCAGAGAGGAGATCATTTGAAGGGCATAGCAACTTCGTTAACAAAGTGTGCTAGAGTTTGATGGAGGTATGGGTCCAGAAGATTTTATTGATTAGCCGCAATTTGTTTAACGAATCTTTGAGTATAAGGATGTGTCAAAGGATAAGAGGGTCAAATTAGCTGATACCAAGTTGAAAAATGTCTTTTTGGGAGAACATACAGAGAGAAAGGAAAAGGGAAGACAGTGATAAAATTACCAGGTAAGAGAAGATGAAGAAAACGATGACGGAAGAAAGAGGGAAACGGCTAGGAGGATGGCGGCTGCAAGAAAACAACAACCAGATGATGTCCTATGCGGCGGATGCAATAATGAAATGCGACCGAGAGCACACGAGGAGGATGTGAAAGGGGATAGAGAAGATAAATACCCCATCGAGAGAAGGATGCAACCAGAGCAACGCCCAAACAATTGGATGAAACCCTCAAAGGGAGAAAACTGGCGTTGGCGACTATTCTAGATAACTAACTTTTAAACCCTAATACAACACATATATAGAAAATGACTAAACAATAATGAAGGATAATAGTAAAGAAAGCATAAGAAAAAAAATGAGGTTATTTAAATGCCTCTACCACAAAATTTATTCACGAGGCGTCGTAGCAACTATAGTACTACAAAAATTTTAATCGGTAAGCTCCCGCGTCAATGTCCCGTGGTCAGGGGGAACTTCGACCTCATCCGTCAAAGCTTCTGACTCCTTATTATATGACGTCTGGTCAGCCACATTGAAGGTGGTGAAAGCATTGTAATCTCTTGGTAAGTCACTCCTATTGACGTTGGCATTCCAAAAACACATCTTGATATAATAGATAACCATCCTGTTTTGATACAATCATAATTGGAACTGTGTGGTTGGGTATCCTCAAGAACCAAGCCTCGAGTCGTTAAATCTGTAATTGGTTTCTTCCACTCTTTCTACTCGTCTAAATGTATCTGATAAACAAGAATGTAAGAATGAATCAACTTCGGGACGAAATCTATAGCAGATTGGACCACACTAAAGTATAAAAACTTAGGAGAAGCCTCTTGTCCTTCTTCTCTGAAAGGACCTAGATCCTATTGGAGAATTTTCTTCCCCATAAAGCTCCAAAAATAATTTTCAAAGTTGTGGTTCATCCTTCCTGTCTTGACATATGATGGTGGGTACACTGCTTAACCGGATCTAGTATTTGAATAACTCAATATAATTTTCCAGACGTGGCACACAAGTGCCTCATTCTTGGCATGATGGACCTCCTTCAATAAGGGCAACTTGGGAAGGAGTCTATAGATTTGAAAAGCCTGAATATCTCTTATCTGAGGTTGTCAAGCCTCTGGTGTCGGTTCCCAAACCTAAGACTGTCTTGGACAATCATTATTAATTCAGTTAAAGTCCCTCTCATGGGCTCAACTGGAACTATGTTCAACTTTTTCTCATCAATTGGAAGTTGGTACTCCACCTTTATCTCCTCATCTTCTTCAGTATCTATTGTATCCTTACCCCTTTCTTCAACAGCTCCCTGCTTAGTGAAACAAAACACTTCCTGGATGAGATGAATTTAAGAATGTGGATTGGTGTCCTCTATTCTCCACTCTGAACTAGTCTCCTCAGGCAAGGTCAACCTGGATGTTCCCCTAGGTGCACTCTAGTTATAAGATCCTAGGGTTAAATCCTGCATGTAAGTTGTGGTCCACATGATGACCTCGCATGAATCCATGTGGCCATCACAATATGGTAGATCCACCTTTATTTTAAAATTCTGACTTCTCAAATACTTCAGGTCACCTCTTCGACGTAAAGGTTCATCCCTGGAATCCAAATGATGGAAGAGGTTCACTATATCACTTTGATCTAGCAAGTCACCGTTGTGACTACGAGTAACCCATCTGGATTACCTCTTGAAGATGGTAAGCCTCGATTGTTGTTGGCGCATATCCTCCTTATAAATCTCCTAGACAGCTCTGTGGATTTCTCATAAGCGGCATCGTGTCATTTCCTCTCGATCAAGCTTTTGGCGATTACCTACTTGGTGGCATGGCTAGGTTGTGGGTGTGGGCGAGTGGGAGGAGGCGAAAAAATTGAGTTAGGTATGCTGATTTTAAAAAATCAGCAAGGAGAAATTAGGGTTAGGTCGAAAATTTGTCTACGATTTGGTGATTTGGGAATAGGAAAGAAAATTTTGGGTGGAGATGGCTTCGGTAGGGACAGAAGATAGAAAATCCTAAGATATGACTGGGGTTAGACTAGCTTTGATACCAAATGATATCAGAGTTAACCTAAACAATAATAGGAAAAAAATAAATATTATTACCCAAAACAAACAAGAAGTTATAATTAACTTGAAAGTGAAAATACAACAGGACACGGAAACACCGTTAAAGTGTATCTCAAGGATGGTAGAGGTGGGCTCAGTGGATGAGTGGATCAAAATGGTTGGCGTGGCGGCAGCAAAGAAATGCTAGTGGCAACGAGGGGGAGGTGTGAAACTGCAGAGACAGCAAATATGGTTGTTGTCCTGGATGGTGGCTGCGAGTTGGGGTGGGTAACGGCGGAACAGCAAGAAGATGTTCATTGGCTATCTTGGATGGCAGCGGCACGGTGGGAGGGCTGGAATAGTAAGGCAAGTGGTGGTTTGGGCGGCACCAATGCAGGAAGGAAGGGGGAGGCGGTTGGGAGGATGGAGGCTGCAGGAAAACAACAACTGGAATGCTGTCCTGGGCTACTGCAGCGATGAAAGGCGATCGGGAGCGACGTGGAGAAGATGCAGAAGGGGATAGGGAAGATTAACCACCTCGAGAGAGGGATATAGTCGGAGCACCACCAAAACATTCAGATACAGCCCTTGAAGAAAGAAAACGAACATTGGCAGCTTTCCTAAACAAAATACACCATAAAACTAACTTCCAAACTCTAATATAACATATATACAAGAAAAAGCTAAAAAGAAATAAAGGATATTAGAAAAGAAAGCATAAGAAAAATTGAATTATTTCGGCGCCTCTCCTGCAACAGCTATTCCCGCAATACGGTAGCAGCTATAATATGGCAACAGCTATTCTCATAAAACTGTAGCAGCTATAGTACCACAGAAATTTTGAGCGGTAAGCTCCCGCATCAAGTTATATTATTTTTTTATAACTATTAACAAATTAAAGACCCACTAATCAAATTAAATTAAATATATATATTTAATTTTTTTTTCTTTTTTCTTTTTTTTGAAAGGGGAGCTGGTGGGTCCTTTTAACTTTATGGAGGTACTGCTAACCAAGCAATCTGAGGTGTTAAGCCTGCTAAAGAAGAGAAGCTACATCAAATTCTTTAAACAAGTGTTTACCTACCGATGGTAGAACTCACAGTCACGTCCGCCCCTGGTTATGGTATACAGGAGATCATAAACTTGAAGAATCATTTTTCTTGGTATCTGCATGAAAAACTAAGTCCTTTAAGTTAGATAATAGATGCTTCGAAATAGTTGTATTATTTACTAATATCCTTCAGTAGAAGCATTAATTTGAAAATTTTGATTGGAACTTAAATCATTATAGACAATTTGGAAGAGTTGCCTTGTCAGAAAATAGATTCACACGAACAAAGGAACAAAACAGATCCATAAAAGCATGTAAGATCAGAGAATTCTGATGGGGCTGCATAAGGAAAAAAACATGGATTAGAAAAGATATACATGAGAAATTCAAATGACTTTGTGAACCTTGATTCTAATAGAACAAACACTTACTAGCAATGTAATCACTGTGCTGCTTAAATTGAGAATAAGACGCAAAGCTTGCTCCCGAAATGCCATCAAGTCAAGTAGAAGCTGAGGATTTTCAGAAAGAAAAAACTATCATCACTTATAATTAAACTGCTTGCACCTTAAAAAACTTTAAAAATAGATGTTGCACAATAGATGTTGCACTAATTCGACTAGATGGAACAAACACAGATCCAAGAGAGCAGTTTACATGTGATTATCTATCATAAAAATCAAGACTAGATAAAGTAACACTTGACGTGTATGTTTACTAGCTTCTAATATTAACAAATTATGAACTAAGATAAGTAAATGATTATTAGTTCTACAACTTATTAATCAGAATAGAATTTGTCAGCCAAGGACCAATTAGTTTTTTTTTTCCTTTAAAGAAACATGAAGCAAGCATGAAATAATCTGGCAATAAAATGTCTGTTGTGAGTTTCTCGATGGTGAATGAAGCTCCTTAACTCACTAGTAGTAGCCTCATGCATTTAAACACACTTCTTTTCAATAACTTTATGGCAAATGAAGATTCATATATGGGTGTCAAATGAAAGCTTTCCAGTTAAAAGTCTGAGTGTGCAAAATTCATCATTACAGCCACAAAAGGCTGAGATTATCTTGCGTCATAAAAGGCTTTGTAACAGCCATTATCTAATCCCGGGAATCCGATAAAGCTATTTTACAAAAAAAAAATACAATTTAATTATTTTTTTCCTCTAATTTTTAGAGGAGGAAATTATTATTCCTATTAAATTTCCTAAGACTCCGTTACAAGATAAATAGCAAAGAAAGGCTACCACATTAAGAAAGCCATAAAATCGTCATGCTAGAAAAAGGAATAGATACTGACAATAGCTAATCCAAATAGTAGAAACCGCTATAAATATAAAATAATAAAAATAGAAGATACCAAAAAAAGGGAAAATGACACCTCCATTCAAGTTAAAGTATAGTTATCTATCATGCCCAACTTACTTACAAAGAACTCAAAACTATGCCTAGAAAGTCCTTTGGTGAAAATCTCTGCGCTATTTGTTGTGTTGTCAGGATGAAGGGCGTGCAAAAAGCCCCAAAATCAATCGTCTCTTTTATGAAGTGTTTATCAATCATGTTCTATGTGATCATGTTACACTGGATTTTCTACAATGCTTATGACAGTTTTATTGTCACAATACAACTTCATTGGCATGCTTATCAGAATCCATTAGCCATAGTTTCATATTTTGTCTCGACACTACTCCTTGTCGCCACAATTTGTTTCTTACTTTGCCATGTAACCAGGTTTTCCCATACATAAGTACAGTACCCAAACGTTTATCTCCTATCAACAACGTGGGAGGATGGTGTTCTGGCAGTATCTCTCTCCCGAAGTGGTGATTATCTTCTCTTATCCCCTTGCGCATCCTCCCACATTGCTCCCGACCACCCCTTTCTCTATTGAAGTCGCCCAGAACAGCCTCCACACCCTTTTTTTTTTTTTTTTTTTCATCCCCCCCCCCCCCGGACTGTTGTTCCAGCCATTCATATCCACTTTTCTTGCCGACTTGTTGTTGTTCCAACCACTCAAAACGCCCCTCTGTCCCCTTAGTTGTTGTTCCAGCCATTCTGAACCACTTCCCAACCACCTAGCCATTGTTCCAGCCCTACCCAATTGTTGTCATTATCCCGGACAGTCGTGCGAAATCAATGTATGCTACATACTTGTTATTTGGAACAAGGAAACTGTTGCCATGATCTTATCTACTAGCCAACCACCTCGTCCACCATCCTGCCACCTTTCGAAGCCCCTAACGGCCACCACCGCCACTAGAGATCAACCCAATTAGCATGTCGTGTGTCATATTGTTGCTATTTTCTATTTTTAGTATGTCTTGTGTCGTTTTTGTTGTTATTTCTATTTTTGTTTTTGTTGTAATTCCCTATTTAAATTCAACAATAATAGTTGATTTTCCTATTGTTGTTTGGGTTAACTCCGATATTAGTTTATCTCCTCGAAGACAACCTCCTTCCACCTTTTTGAAGCATCCTACGTAGTATTACGAATTTCCAAACAAGACAAAAGTGTCGTTAAAACTTGAAAAATGAAAGAGAAATTTTTCTATGACACATAATGAGACAATGGATGTTGGGTTCAAGACCTCACCCCATTACAAGCTGCAATGAGATGTCCGGAATCATTAGATTTAGGATTAGGGCTAGGCTCGGGTTCAGGACTAGAAAACTTAGAACTTGAAGATAAAATTTATTGACCATGACATAAGGCTCAGTGAGGACACTACCTGGATTATTCATAGATTATGGGCGATGCAAAGAATTCACAAACTCTTTCTTTTGAGTTGTCCTTTGTCGCAAAATGATACCAATATCGTAGTACTTTTTCTTGATTCCTCTTTGTTAGTTATTATGGAATTACGAACAAAATGATATAGCACTATAGGAAGATCTGAATCTTCTTCAATATCTAAAAAACTCGACGCACTTTCTCTTGACACAATATAGTTTAAATCCTCCGGTTAAACAATCCATGTTGGAAAGTTTATTTTGTGAGCCTTCGATTCCTATAAACCCAGTAGTCGAATTTTTATTTTGTCCATCCTCCCTTTGAAGATGATATGAAAAAAGGGTTCTAATTGAAAAAAAGTGACATTCATGAAAGCAAATATTTTTTTTATAAATATGATCAAAACATTTATACCCTTTTGGGTGGGAGCATAACTACAAAACATACAATTTATGGTTAGGGTTCAAATTTTTTCTTGATTATAACTATGAATGTGAACAAATGCAGTAAACCCAAATATGCTTAAAGGCAAACAATAAGAAAGCCGGTTTGCTAGGTAAACTTTATGAGAGACATCAAAAAGTGTTATAAAGTTCAAAATTTTATTTATAACGTGTTTTATTAATGAGAAATGTACCACTAAAAACAGCTTCCCCTCAAAGATAATTTGACGCAAGATTTGTAAATAGTAATGGCCAAGCTACTTCTAATAAGGGTTTGTTTTCTTGTTAAATCACACTATTTTATTGTAGAGTGTCGACACAAGAGCTTTGATAAATTATTCCTTATTAGGAAATAAAATTAACCAAAAATATTTTCAAAGTACTCTCGGTTATTATTACTCTGTAATATTTGAATAATTTTTTAAAATTGTATTTGTAGCATGGCCAAAAATTTTTAAAACACAATCACTTCAAAATTTTCTTTCATTAAAAACACCAAATTTAACCTTGTGTCATCATAAGAAAAGGTAACAAAAAATTTTTTGTGTAAAATTTTTACAAAACTCCCAAAGAATCAGAGTAAAATGTGTAAGCTTGTAAATATGGGAAGAAAAAATAGCACAACGATGTTTGGCAAATTGACAAAGTTCACATTGGAAAGAAGATATTTTAATTTTAAAACAAACTGAGAAGTAAGAATTTTAAATATTGCAAACTAAGATGTTTTAGCCTATAATGTCACAGAATAATATCATTCTCTTTGAAAGCAAAACCAGAATTTAAACGAAACAAGTATTTTGACATTTTCTATTTGCATCAAGTCTACCATCAAAATAAAAGAGTCCATTTTCCTCAACACTGTGAATCATCCTCCAGGTGGTCAATTCTTGAAACTCACAACAAGAACAGTCAAAATTAACTTGGCATTAATGACCAACAATAATTTTGCTATTGGACAATAAATTACCAGATCAATTGAGAACATGTAGCACATCACTAATGATTAACAATGATGTGAGTTTGACTGTTCCCATCCCAGCAATTATCGAGAGAGTACCATCGATAATTTTGACTTTTTTATTGTTTGCTCAATGCCTACAATATGAGAATAATTTAGAACCAGCCATATGATCAGTTACACCGGAATCAATTATCCAAAATGAATAAAATTAGAGTTAGCACCTAATAATAAAGTGACTAAATAGTTATTGTTTTGCACTTAAGAGCAAGTCGGAGTCAATGACAATTTTAAGGATTGAAAAAAGTTTTGCAGGTGCTCTAACTGCTCCTTAGTGAAAGGTATTTCATCCGAGTTGGTAGAAAACTCTTGAGTTTCATCAACAGCGGCTTGATAGGACCGAACTTCACATTTAGAACTTGGTTTTCAATTTGTGTTTACGATGAATCTTCCAACATGTCTTCTTTATATGTCATGATTTTTTTTTCAATGCTTGCACCTCCATGAGTAGGGCATAGTGGTTTTGGAATTACTGGAATTAGCAGAAATGGTAAAAGTTCTTTGGGCGTCCATCATCGCCGACTTGTACAACATCATAAAAATTAAAAATGAAGAAACATTGCGATTGGCGGCTACCTCAACGGCAAAAAACACAATCAGGGCTCCCTCTAGGAAAAAAAGAAAACCTCATTCAGGCTTTTGTTTCGATCGTGGGTACGGGCTTCAATCACTTGTCTAGTCGCGATGGGAGTTCACTGGCACGTCTGGTTGTAATGGACATACAAAACCTTGAGGAGTTCCTGCTTCGATCGCGCCTTTGAAGCATCTTCTAACGGTAACGACAAGCCACGAGTGGCATCGTTGGAGGTCTGCCGCTTCATAATCATCCTCAGGACCGTGTGATCTTCACACGGACTTCCAAGCTTATAGATCATGAGTTCAAACACGCGTGGAAAAAATAGTGGCTTCAATTATGAGTAGCGGCTACAAAAAAAAAACAACCATGAGTAGAGGCTACGACCGCTTTAAAAAAAAGACAGTGTCTTCATGAGTGGCAGCTACAACGGCTTCTGATATTACGATGCAATGATGCAAGCGTCAATCATGTAAGTAAATGTATCGTTTAAATAGTATATGAGTTTATGTATCAATCTCATAGAGAACTTGTTAATTTTCAAAAATATGAAAGTTTTAGTTTACTAATCCTTCAAGTTTGAATAGTTTAAATTTTGTGGATTTTAAAAGTATCTAAAATTCCAATTTTGCGAAAGTAAAAAAATCAATCCTAGGTAGAATGGAGAGTACGGGTCAATTAGCTTTCTTCCATCGTCCTAGATCACAACAAATTTTAGCATTTCAAGGGGTCAAATTGGAAGTAAATGAAGCATGCAAATTTAACACATCAACGCTAACATTTAAGATTAAAAAAATCACAAAACATGGATACCTCTAAGTTTCCTAGATTATGAATCCAATGGAGAAAAGAAAGTTACATGGTATGCAAGATTAAGAGCAAAAACAGTGTAAGAGTGTAGAAAGATAAAACTCGATAAAATACAATTTTTGTTCCCAAGAATTGCTAGCCACCAGGCTCTCCTCCCTTCCTAGATTACAACACTTAGAAACCCTCTCTAATTCTCTTTCTCTCCCACTCTCAATTTTCTTTCTCACAGCGAGCAGTTTGAAATTATGACATTGAGAGCCCTCTTTACTTCGCACACAGTGTATTTAAGTCACTCGCATGCCACATAGATCTCTGAACTGTCAAAAACTACTCTAAGTTTTGGACACCTAGGCGCCAAGTTGGAGTGTCGCCGTTCCAAACTCTCGATCATATATGGCATGAAAATTCTTCTTTAGACACTTAGGCGCCTAGACTTGATGTTGGACTTCTGACGGCTCTCTTCTTGTGGCCGAATAGGGTAGTCATAATCTTTAAGTGCCTAAGCACCAGGTCGGGCATTGGGCTTCAAGCTGGGGGTGTCTACTTTCCTTGCTTCTTGTACTTGGGCGAATTTTGAAGTTGTTTGAGGCACCAAAGCAGCAGGATAGGTGAGGATGCGCTTGGTAGGTACTTGAAATTTATTTTTTTGCTCCTTATTACTTGTATACTACATAAACAAGCAAAGATACCCTGGAAAAAAACATAAAAATGACAAATATATATATATATAGTGAACACATGAGATATCACATCATATTTTTAACACATCAGCTTCGAAGAAAAACAGCGGCTTCGAAGGAGACACACGAGCAGATGCTTCGATTGTAAGTTATGTCACGATGCAAAACCTGATGATGCTTCCAAGGAAAGAGCACAATCAGAGGCTTCACAGTCTACTGATGGATGGGAGTTTGGTCTTCGCCAAGAAGCTTGAAGCGAGTTTGGTCCTCCATGAAAACTCTAGGGCACTTTTGGTCGATATTTCAATCGTTTATAGTCTCTGATACCATGAAAGTTTTGATGAAGGAAAAATTATTATTCCTCTTTAACTTCCTAAGACTCGAGTACAAGATAAATAGGTAATCCTAAAAATAGAAACTATTAAAAATAAATAATAATAATAATAATATAAGATTCCAAAAAGGAAAATTTTCAACATTTCTCAGAGAGCTTATAGATGAGATCCAAGAAAATTGTCCTGAAAACCAAATTATCAAGTCATGTTGGAGTGTCCAGATTTTCTTCCCATTAATAAACAATTTAAGCTCATGGTAATATAATGCAAACAACTTAACATTTGTAATAGCAAGTTTCATGGGGAAAAATGTGACAAATAGCCATAATTTAAGTAAATATTAATGAGGAGTTAAAAAATTTTGAATTCATGGAAATTTAAAAACACTTATGTCTGGACATATGGATAGCCAGTTCAATCCATCAACCTCAATCTCCATCTTAAGATATACTTAATAAGTATTCGGATGGACATCATGAAGCATATGTTGTCAGCTGCTTTGCATTAAGTTTAAAGAAAAATGAATTTGTAGTGGACTTCATCAGTGCAACAGTATTTTATTGAACTGCGTTGAGTTGAACATAAAAGGTGCCAGCATAATTTAATATATTTTATTGAATAAAGCATGAAACTAATCATAAATATGGATGATACCGTAATCCATGGTTCCAGATTCTGAATGTACACTTCTGCGTTGTCATTCAAATGATCCAGGCCAATTTTATCAACCTGAAAAAATTGTTCTCAATAAGGACCAGACTATAAAATGAAATCGCCCAATACCATTATAGTAGATTGATTACACGATCCAGCTGCAATTTGTTAGGATGCTCTGGAAATTTTTTTGACAAAAGTACGCAGATTCGAGGTAGGTTGGGAAAAACACCAGCTGTCCAGAAGGTTTCTGAAAATGTGTGCGATGCCAGATCAGGTTTGTCCAGTATTTGGTTTAACCTATAAATCTTGCACGATAAACCCTCTGCAACTTTGGAAAGTTGGACAACCGACTCCATTTGAAGTGATTTCTGAGAAATTCCGAAATTTGGCTGTGCTTCAGAGCCAGTATGCTTCCAGCTTGTGGATTGTGAAGAAAAAGGTTCTTCAAGGTTAAGGTACTCAGACCATCTCGATAAATTGTCCAAGTCCTTAGATTTCACCGACGTGGGAGTTGACTCTTCATTGGAAGAAAATGGCCTTGGCTTCGCCATTAGACCTACTTCAACCAAATCCCTGAAAGAACAGATAGATACATTCTTGTAAGCTTGACACCTTGAAGTCATTATCCAAATAACATAATAGATAGATAAAGAAAGAATCAAGAAGACAAACCAATCTGAGAATCAAAAGACAAATAACGTCAATTCTACCAGCATCAAGGTAACCCTAAAATCAACATATAGATAGAATCCCATATTCAGACAGTACATTACGCCTCCTCTCAGTTCATTTCATCTTAACACTCTATAGAATCAAATGACTAAGAAATCCTTTAAAATTCAAAGAATAACTTCGCCATGACTAAATCACACTTCAATGCTTCAGTAAACAAATAAGCGCAAAACTAAGGAGAATGCAGTGACGGCGTACCTCAAAGAGCGCTGAAGCAACTATGCTGAGAAAGGAGTACAAATTCGGGGAAGCGTTGAAGCTGGAAATCTGCAGCTCGAAGTAGAGAAGTTCGAGATCTGGTGGTTGGGCAGATTTTCAGGAGTGAGCAAGAGAGAGACAATGTGCAGGGAAGCCTTCCAGCCATTTTGCTTCCGTGATTTATTTACATATTTAATATCTCAATATAAATTTATTTATTTTAAACATAGGAGGGGCATTTACATAAATACCACCCAACTCTTATATATTTAACACTTAAACTACAAGTTTTACATTTTGTACCGCCCACATACTTCTAATCACGTACAAAATACCGCCATTGAAAAAATTAAATAAAATACATACATAAATAAGATGGTATGTATGTAAATACTTAGCTATATAAATACATACAGAATGAGTGGTATGTATGTAAATCTTCCAATACATAAACCTTTGTTTTTATTTTATAATATTATGATTGAATTAGGATAGAAATGTGACGTAGTGGTTGCAAAGTCGTCTTCTTTTTCTTCTCATAATCTAAATTGATTTAGTCGTGTTTTTTTTTTATTATTATATATTTATTAATTATTGATCATAAAATATTCCTTAAATATATATTTTTATGGAATTATTTACATTAAAAAAAAATTAATACTAAATATCTAATAAACAAAATTATAAATGAAATCGATAAAATTTAATTCAAAATCATAACTTTGTTGATATAAATCATATATTATAAAGAATATCTTGTTTGATACAGTATGGATAGGGGTGTCAATTTGAGTCACTGGATTGGGTTTATGTCCAACCCGGAAATTGACCTGATCATAGTAATCCTAACTCAAACCCAACTCAAATATTATACTGGTCGAAAGTTTCAACTTTCACTCAACTTGTCAGCCTGAATCTAACACACATAACATGTTTAACATATGGAATAACAGTTGTTTGTGTTAAAATAGGGTTAATTTCATGTCAATTTTTGGTTGATGATTTGATTTCAAGTTAATTTAGGATTGACGGGTCATTTTTTAGGTTGATAGTTCAACCTCATTCCTACCAGTATAACATGTTTAATGTAAAAAATAAGAACTATTTGAGCTAAAATCGGATCAATTGTGTGTCAAGTTCGAGTCAACTTATGGTTAATTATTGGTTATTATGTTGATTTCAAGTTAATTTAGGGTTGGCAGGTCAACCCAAATCCGCCCTGCATAATCTATTTAACATAAAAGAATAACTATTCGGTTTAAAATCGGATCAATTTTGAGTTGACGGGTCGATTTCACTTAATTTAAGATTCGATTTTAGTTGTTATTATAATTATAATTTATTTTTAAAGAAAATAAAAAATGTGTGGACCCACCAAATCATTTGCTTTTTGTCCCTCTTAGTGGTTCCTTTGAGTAGAATTTACACAAAGAAAAAGATATTTCATAAGTGGGTTTGAAAACGTTTAAAAATTTTCGAACTTATGCTTTATTACATATTAATAAGAAAACAAGTAAATAAATAAAATGGAAAATTGTCGATAAATAGAATTCGGTGAATAAATAAGTTGCCATGTACTAGCCTCTTGCAAAAGCTATAATTATAATTTTTTTTTAGGGAAAAAAAATGTAACATACATCAACAAATTTTAAGAATTTTTATTGTTATATTTCTATAAATTTTTATAAAGTGTAAAGTGTCAAAATAATCCTCGATTATTCACGTAAAATCATTTTAGGATATGTTTGGGGTCACAGTGCGGTGGCAGTGTGGTACTTCATTACAGTTTTGTTTGTCTGGATAAACTGTATTTTGACAGTTTTTTAAAATCTGCATTTTTTCATTGGTCTGGCTAGATAGAGTTGTAGTTTTCCAGCTGTGGTTTGATTTAAAAAAAAAATTTGTAATAGTAACCTTAGCTTTTTTAATATCATAGTATTTTTTTTCAGCAAATTTGTATTTGTTTTTTAATAGACAACAACTGCCCCAAAAAGACTCTTAGTCTCATATTTTAAAATAGCCTCCGATTGTTTTTAAAATGAGCTTCAATAGTATTCTATGGGGACAATTTTAACCCCATTTAAAGTCTCTGTGGACTATTTTGACACTTCTATAAACTTTTAGGCTATAATAACCTTGTGTAAATAGTCATGGACTATTTTGACACTTTACACTTTTTACAAATAGATTTTAATTTTAAGACATTTAATATTGTGGTTCAAATAAATTTGTTGATATATGTTAAAATTATTAAAGCTAATAGGTTGGTTTTAATTACGCTATGCATGGTTTTAAGAGACTTTATTATTTAGAATGGAATAGTTTTTTTACATCATTAAAAATGATAATAACTACCCAGCTTAAAAGAGTGAGGCACGCCATGCTTCATGATTGTGACAATTGAATAAGGGGGGCAATTATATACATACCACCAAATTTTTAAGTATTTATATGTCTAACTATTGAATCCAAATCTGTCGAGCGGATCATACCCAAACAATAGAGTGTTGGACCGAGGAAAAGAGATTTGAGAAAGGGAGATATAGGGAGAGAGAGCAGGAGAAGAAAAGAGAAAAGCTTCCCCCAACCGGGGAGAAATAGATTGTTCCTGGGCTCATGGGCCAATTTTATTCCATTAAGAATATAGAACACAAGTGGGAGTGCCAAAAAGTCTTCGTTACATGAAAAGACTCTCATATTTATAAATGATAGAAGAGCTAAAAAGTATATTACAGCATTACCCTTGCTTGAAAAAGATAGTATAGAATATTTTTGTCTTTGGTATCAATGTGTTCTACTGGGCACCTCATCGACCGTTGAATCTGTTATTCAGAAGTTTTTTTTGTAGAGGGAGTCGTTGGATTCTGGTGATCATTCAGAAGAAAAAGTATTTCGTCGGAGTCTTCTGTCAAGGGAAAAAGTCATCAGTTTGAGTAAAGGTCAACCAAGATTAGTCAGTTTGACGGGAGTTGATTGTAGATTGTCTTGAGATTCATGCAAATCATTATTGAGCATACACCGACACAATTTTTATTTAATATATTTATAACACCCAAGTCTATGTCATCGCATTAAAAATATGATTATTTAAAGTTTTAAGAGATGAAATATATCTTTTCATTGAGGTTATGTATGTAAAAAATGAAGTTCGGGAGTTCGATATTTAAACACATAAGAATTGACAAATATTTATGTAAATCTTCGAATAAATTATAAGAATCATAAACACTATAGTTGAGTTGACAAGCATATGAACATGCAATTTTTTTTGCACTAAAATATTCCAGACTAAACTCAGTGTTGTCCAATAAAAAAAATAAAAATAAAAACAAAAGTTATAAGCATTGCTATGCCTTCAACAAACTCTCGTCGTTTGGCATGAATCTTGAGGCAAAACACAAATCTCGAGTTATTTTTTCGAGCAAGAAGCATTCTAACTCTGATTAATAATAATCCAAAAGACCTATTTCACAAACTAAGTATCAAATTGATCATTTTGAAGGTACAAACCCAATCACGCCAAGTTTGACCCAACTCGAGTCAAATCAAGTCATTAAACTGCTTTTAGAAACTGTTGGTATCAAATTGGAATATCAAACATATTCCAATTTAGACAAGTTTATAGTTAAGTTGAGCATCTCAACAAGATGAGTTTAACAAGCTTAAGATCACTCAATTCTAACGTTATTATGACACTTAAATATCAACAAAATTTTGTCCCATCAGGGAAATCTCTCTTGGGCGTCTGATGAAGTGGCCAACATTATTTCCTTATTTGCAGGGATGTCAATCCTATATTCTATAAATAGTCCTACTATATTTATGAAAGGGAATCGAGATCATAAACCAGAGAAAGAGTTAGACTTGGAGTTGATTAGATAAAAAGGAGTTGAATTACATACTCATTCTAAAGCAAAAACCCTACAAATTCTTCATGCTTTCGTAGTCGTTGTCCAATGCTCGTCGGCCACCACCATTAGTCATCCCCTGCTCATTGCAATGAAGAACCTTGTAGAGTCACGGCGTATGTTGCGAAGTAAAGAAGCACCGAGTAAAGTAAAGGTTAACATTAATGAGTAACAAAGCATAATATATATTAAAAACCAACATCACAGTGTAACAAGTCACCTTATAGATTAGTGCACCATCCAAATCAACATGCAATGTTGCATCTCGTATCACCAAAGTTTGGCCATCTACTTCCAACTACAACCACTCAAAGCCACTGCACAAGGATTTATCAGACAAGTGAACATTGTACTTTGATGAACTATGTAACCCTCTCTCGTTTGCGTGATAATGGTTTATATGTGTAATCACTAAGTCATAGTAGATCGTTTCAATTGGGTGAAACCCTTTGTTATTTTCTTTTTTGAGTTTTCCAAGTAAAATTTTTTAATATCTCTAATTATTACCTCAATTATCTATGCGCGTGCTAAATTTTCATGCAACATTAAGAAGCTAAATAATCACTATGTTATCACAAATCTTTTGGGACGTATCAAACATGACATGCTCTTCATATGAAAGAAGAATGCCAACAATAATGCATGTGTCTTTGTCTAATAAGCAAATAAGAAGATTAGAGTGATGGCGAAGCAAATAATATTATATCTTATTTTTAGAGAGCTAATAATATGATTAAAACTAAGAGTATGTTTGGGGCAGCTGCAGTTTTTTGAAAAAACGACTTCAACAGTTGTTTAAAGAATTATGATGGATGTTACAAAAAAAAAATTTAAAAAAAAAAATAGATCGCAATCTTCTAGCAACCACCGCACGTAGTCATGAGTTATGGAAAAAGTAGTTTTCCGCTACAAGTTTTCAAAAATGCTGGCAAAATCATGTTTTACCAAACATAAAAAATTGTTGTATGACACCGCACCGCCGCTCAAAACTCATCACAATAGAAAAATATTGATATATCCTAGGAACAAGAAGATAGTCACATAGAACTTTACAAGTACATTTATAAAATTTTGCAATCAATTTAAATAGACCCTTAATGTATTATCATGTAGATCTCCAAATATGATTGTCATGAGAGAGAATAGCTATTACATTAATTAAAATCTGATCCCAATACAAATAATGCAAAGTTCACAATATTGATTATATTTATTATCATCAAGATTAATGCTTGCATGAATTTCAAAATTATTTTTACACACATATCATCAATCTAATACAATAAAAATTAACAAATAAATTAAATTAACTTTCAAATGGAATCAAAGATTTCATTAAACATGACAAATTGTTTTCACTGAAATATAATTGAACAAAGTCAAACTATTAAATAAAATCAAATTCGAGTGTTTTGAATCAATTTAGTGCTTGTTTGAAGGAGTTTCGTTGTTCAGCAAATTTTTTTAAAAAAAAATTACATCAACAAAATAAATATTATCACTTACAACCTAAAAAAATTACACTTTTATTAAAACAATTTAAGAGATGTTACCTTAACAAATTAAAGTAAATTTAGATATCATGTTCACGAAAAATATTTTGTCTGGATAGCTAAGTACCGGGGCCACATTCACCACGATATATGATGAAGTGAAAGTAGTCTTAATATGGAAAAAAATATTACATCAAGGCTCCGCATGCAGAACTGTCTGCAGAGTCCAATCTCGAGTTGACACATGAAAAGTCGGGACTCACCTCTATAAAAAATAAAAAAAAAATTGAATGAAAACACGCGACTCGGCCGGGCCATGTTACTGGAATATTCTCTTCACATTATTCTAAATATTTTTCGCATTCTTTATGTGTTATTGATGTGTTATTGATGTGATTTTGAGATATTATTGTTCACATGAATAACGCAAAAAACATTATTTTAATAACACAACAATGATACAATATAACACACCAATAACACATTAAAAACGCGCGACCCGACTTGACCGTGTTATAGGAATATTCCCTTTGCGTTATTCTGAATATTTTCCGCGTTATTCATGTGTTATTGATGTGTTATTTAGTTGATTTTGAGATATTATTGTTATTTAAAAAATAATACCAATAATACATGAATAACGCGAAAAATATTATTTTAATAACACAACAATAACACAATATAACACACCAATAACACACAAAAAACGTGCGACACGGCTTGACCGTGTTATAGGAATATTCTCTTCACTTTATTCATTTGTTATTAGTGGGCTATTGTTGTGTTATTCCTGAATAACACATTAAAAACGTAAAATATTCTCTAACAAGAATAACAGTTCAATAACACACTAATAACAAATGAATAACGCAAAAATATTTAGAATAATGCGAGGGAATATTTGGTCGAGTCGGGTCGGATCGCACGTTTTCAATCTTATTTTCATTTTTTATGCAAATAGGTTCCAGCTTTTCACATGTCGGGTCAAGGTTAGTCTCCGCCGGCAGCTCTAGGATGTGGAGTGTGGTCTAATAATTTTTACTTCAAATGTTTTCCAAAACCCAATTTCAGTGCAACGCATAAGCAGACAGCATGGCTTTCCTACAAACTCGACCCTTTATCCAATCTCCACCGCCTCTTCCTGCTCCGCTCTCCTCACCGGTAAGCTTCTTTCTCTCCCTCGCTCCTTCCCCAGTAACAGTTAGTTAACCATCTCCTTATACCATGAATTTTCTCAGGTTTCCCCATGGATATCGAGCTTCCGTCCCATATCCATATCGGCCATGTCTCAGGTATCAATATGTACGTTCTATTCCTCAAATCCCTTCCTTATCTCCTCCTCGAAACTCCCCAATTTACTGATTCGCAGAAAGAGGGCGACAACGGAAGACGAATCTGGCGGCGCCGAAAACTGGTACTCTCCGAACTCAAACCCTAGAATTCTCTCCTCGATTTCCGCTATTAAATCAATCAAAATTGGCTTACTCAAAAGAGAAAGAGAGACGAGAAGATTGAATACAAGATGGAACGGGTCCCTTTTCTCGAGGAGCAGGTGAGGAAAATAAGGGAGTCGGGGAAGATAATGTCGCTCGACGTCGAAAGGCTGCTGCTTTCAGAGGAGAACCGCTTCGCTTTCGTCAACGAGGTGGCGGCGGAGGCGACGGCCTATGTGGAGAAGAATCGAGACGAGTATGGAGCTAAGAAGGCCATTCTTCATGTGCTGAGCAACAGGATGAATGAGGCCGGCTTCCACCGCCCCGAGGCTTATATGGAATCCGATCCCTTCATGCCTGGACCTCACTACCTAAGGATTCCTGAAACTTAACCTCCTGGTTTTTTTCAATTATGGGTTTTTGGGAAATTTGTTTTCTTAACAATAATTAGATAATTATCTGGGTTTTTATGGATCTTCCCTGTTCGTTCGTTTGTTTAAGTTACATGGTTAAGGGTTCAGTTTGAAGGAGCTTCACCTTTCAACGAAGCTCCTTTCAAAGTCAGGTCTAGACATTGTCATCTGTGATATAAAACAACAAAAAAATATCGTTCCGCTAAAACAACTTCGGGTTATGATGCTTCATCAAACGACAGCAAATCTATTCGTCAGCGTTCACTATAATAGAACTGAGTTTCACCGGCTTCTCAAACGAAGCCTAAGTTATATACGTGAGTGATGTAATTATTGAGCACAATGATATAAATTTATTGGAAGATTTGCACACCTAAACTTCAATTTTACATAGATGTCACATTTCTGATGCATGTTGAGGTGTATTTCAAAGGTTCAAAACGTGGTATTTTTTATGTGATATGAAATATTTGTGTGGTATAAATGTAAAAAAGCGAAGCCTAGGTTGTAGATATGTAAATACATAGGAATTTGGTGCTATAATGCCCACACAAATATGATGAAGTAAATGTTCTATGAGGGCAATTTAAGTTTAAGCACAATTGATGCTATAGTTTGTAGGAGTACCAGAGCATGTGATATAACATTCATCATATAAATATTGAAGCTCAAGCAATTAATTACATGAACGAAAAGAAATTTACATTTAAGATATAAAACATAAGTATTTTTATATGGTTTAGCACTCTAGTTAGCCTGCATTCATGCCTTACTTCTATCCAAATTAGGATGTCACCACCCGACTTACCACCACGAGCCTAAACCACTTCAATCAACGAGTAAGCTGAGAAACCTTGTAACAAACATTATTCTTAACGGGGAAATGCAACACAAACACTGATTCAAGATTACACGATAAAACTCCAATCCAAAGTTCTTTTGAGTTTTGATGGTGAATGAAGGAATTTGGTTTTCATTGCGAAAGGAAATAACATATATATAATAGTAGATAACTAGGAGGGGGAGGCCTCTCCTCTTGGGTGGCAACCCTAACACAGGCAACTGGGCAGGCTGGCACCTGCAACCCTTGGCTGAACCAGTTCAGCCTTCACTAGCCGGTTCAGCCCAGGTGAGCCCTGCTTCAAGCACATAAAATTCATCATCACTATATCACTAATGAGCTATTTACGAGTCACCCAAACTTGTGGAGTAAACATGAGATAACTCAAAGGAGCAACGAAGCTTGATAATAATAGCCAAGTTTTTATTTATCAAGAAAATACTAGAAAAAATTTAGCTCAGGGGGCATTTACATGCATACCATCCGATTCTTATATATTTAGATAACCAACACCAAAACTTTTATATATACAAACATAAAATTCAAATCTTTGACATCATATCAAAAATACCACTATAACCATCTTTCTAAAAGTGAAATAAATCTTTTCATGCACAGGCTTTTAATACCAAGGTTAGATATGTAAATGCATAAGAATATGTAGAATGTATGTAAATTTCCCTTAACTTAAAATCTAGCAGCACAACCGAGTCAAAGCTCAGAACTGATGGAACACATAATTTCGCATATAGAGTGATTATACTGATCTTCCATAGCTTATAGATCTTCTTTCCTGCCGTTGAGTCCTTCACCATTAGCCCCCATTTGCTCCTCTGGTGCTTTAAACTATAGGAGGAAAATAAGTTGTTAAGCCTGCGTCCACATTCTGTGTGGCACATTGTTTGAAAATAAAATGAATAATCTTAAGGTATTGGGTTCGAGATTTATCGACATAGCACTTAATTCTTATGTATTTAGTAGTTCCCTATCTAACACCTAAAGTTCAATTAGATGACATTTACATGGATACCATACAATTTCTTATATATTTTGATATCTAACACCAAAACTTTTATATTTTCGGTAAATCATTATGAATGTCATGAGATCCATGCCATTTTCTTATCAATCTGCTTTGGTATCAGTCTTCTCTTCTCTGTTGCTTCACACGTTGTAGATGATGATGATAGATCAGCTACCTGGCTCAGATTTTCTCCTTGAGAGCGAGTTTGAGTTAAAAGTTGAATGATAGATTTTCGGGGCATTTAATACATATGTACCACACAATTCTTAAGTATTTACACATCTAACACCTAAACTTTCATGTTTAAATGCATGCCACTCAAAATTTTAACATCATATAAAAAATATCATCATCACTATCATTTATTCTTTTTATAAGTGAAATACAATTGTTAATGCATAGCTTTATGACACCAAGGGGTTGTAAGTGTAAATATCAAATTTTGGGTGTTAAGAGATGTATATACATAAGAATTTTGTGGCTTGTATGTAAATTTCTTAGGTTTTATGGGCTTAGTTCCAAACTGCCTATGTAGTTGCCTAGCAGTTACCTCGAGTATTTGATTTGAATGCTTTGAGCTAACTTTGGATGGGTTAGATTAAACCGAGCTTGGTTCATAAGCCCCATAAAATTGTTGTGAATTCAAGGCGTAATTAGTAAGTAATGTAGTTTGCTTGTGAGCGTCCTCCCCTTAGACGACCAAGAGGATTCGCTTTACCCTGACCATCTTCCCTTTATCAATTATGTATTACTTTCTCCTCCAAACTTGTCACGAAAGTTATTGTTGAATATTCATTATGGCGTTATATGTTACAGTAGTATCTCAAATATGAAATTAACAAGGGATGTCGGAGATGGCAAATAGGAGTGTTCGACAATCGCTGGCGGTTACGGAGGCCAAAAGTTATTGTTGGGTCATCTATACGACGTTGCACGTTACAACCTTATATGGGATATATCATTAACAAACGAGTAGTAGATGGTGGCGAGCAGGGTTGGCAGACGGTGGTCGTTGCGCTGCCAACGGGCAGTGGTCGGTGTCTCTAGAGGTTGGAAGTTATCTTCGAGTCTTCAATCTGGAACAGGTTCTGCAATTCTTTCTCTTTCCCCTCTCTCTTCAAGTGAATCGAGGGAATTTATTTATAGCATCTGTGGTAGGAGCATTTTTGGTTTGTTGGCGAATTATTCCCCAACCACTTGATCAAACAGATCGTATCGATCTCTCTCGATCACAATGGATTTGTTTTATGATTTGAGTATCTTCTTGACCTCAAATTTTAGTGATATTGGGCTCATTGTCTTAGATATAACCAATTTTTATATCATCGTGTTGATCTAGTTGAGAATGTCAGTTTGACTACAAACTTGTTGAAATCGAAGTGTGGATTATTTTGAATTTGAATATTTTTGTTGTTCGAAAATTTATTGAGGCTCGTGTTAGACGATGAGAACTTCTTTATGACTCATCATGTGTGTAAATATATTGAATTGGGCGTTATGCATGTAAATGCCCCTTCTATACATTTTGAAGATATCGATGAAATGATCAACCAATTATCTTATAATTTCTCATAAGTGACTCAAATTATTGTGACATTTTTGTTTTATTCTGTCAATTCTTTCTATTGAATTATTATAAATTCTAAAATTGACAAATTTAGCTCATTTCAAGTTGAAATATCTAAGAAGTTGATATAGAGTCATATTCATTTTATATCTTCTCTACTAATCGACATATTTAACTCCTTTGTAATATGAGTTGTTTATTCTTGAACCCACGTTATCAATTTATTTTTTATAAAGTCCTCTCGAGCTCAAACATGTTTAATCACTTAATTACCATTAACAAACTAGCTAATTACATGTCTGCTATAATTATTTCTAGGGGTTTTCACATAATAAGCCCCTCAAACTCTCCTATTTACATATCAAGGTGTCTAAATATTTAATTTATGAACGGAGGTCTTTCGTCTCGTCTCCATGCATTCTTTTCGTTCCTCACCGTGAATCTTGGTACGATAGAGAAATCTTAGGGGTAGAAATTTGAAGTCGATCTCGGAATATGAGAAATCAAATGAATCCGCTAAAAGTCTCGATCTCTGTATTTGTTGCATTTGTTTTTTTCTGGACGGGACAAGTTGTGTTGGGGTCGGATTGCTCGCACGTGTTTTTTTCTCATTTTAGGGACTAAACTATATTCTATAGAATAAACAATAATAATAAATAAATAAACAAACATAATATTTTTGGATTGACTTTCACACATAACTCTACCTGTATAATTTGAATAGATTAATTTTTCGTAAATAAGAGGTTAAAATTGAATGATCTTATGCATCTTTTTGTGGAGCTATTATATTTGATTATTCATATGTTAAATTTTAAAACAAATTTGATCGCCTAATTTATTTTATTAAAATTTGATTAAAATAATACGACAATTTGTAGAATTCAAGTTGGTTGGTTGAAGTGGAGGAATGCTTCGGGCCTTTTGTGTGATAGAAAAGTACCGCTAAGACTGAAAGGAAAATTTATAAGACGGTGGTGAGACCTGCAATGCTCTATGACGTTGAATGTTGGCCTTTAAAAGAGAAGCATAATCGAGATGAGAATGATTAGGTGGATGAGTGGCTTTACACTTAGAGACAAAATGCGGAATGAATATATTCGTGATAGGGTTGGTGTAGCTCCTGTGACAGACAAAATTAGAGAAAGTCGTCTTAGATGGTTTGGTCATATTAAACGTCCACCATTAGATGATCCGATTAGGAGAGTAGATGTTTTAGATTTGACTTGTGTTAAGAAAGACATAGGTAGGCTTAGGAAGACTTGAGCTTATTGTATTAAAAATGATCTTAATGTATTAGAACTAAATAAAAATATGACACTAAATAGGATGCAATGAAGAAAAAAGGATTCATTGAGCCGACCACACGTAGTGGGATTAAATATTCGTTGTTGTTGTTGTTGTTGTTGTTGTTGTAAAATAATAGGACAATTTCTTTTTATTATTATTAAATAAATTGAAGGCGGCTTCGCGTGCCCCCACCGCCACGCATGGGATTCTGCTTCAGGCCGCCAGTTTAGTGCTTGGCGGCTTCAGTGGGGCCCACCATGTTTGACACGAATAACACGCCATCGTTCGCCGCCGTTGCCCGTCTACATCATCCGTAGTACCCACCGTCAATTTCCCGTTAGTCACCGTTAGCTGCCGTCCACATCAACCGTACCGCCGGTCCGCCACCAGTATTTATTTTTTGGAAAAATAATATTTTTCTTGGAGACAGTACGGTTGTATATATATATATATATATGTATATATATATATTCAAATAATGGCTTGAAACGAACATAAAAATATTCTATCAACTAATAAAAAAAATTCAATCGAAGTCAATAAAATGACTTCGTAGCATTTATCATTTAAAATTTTAATAATAAGGAAAAAATTATTCAAATTTACTCAAAACATTATTAATTTTTTTTTAAATTGAATTCAGTACTATATTTATGATACTAATTTTAGGATAAATTTATTAATTTTAATTAGATTTATTTCAAAATATCCGAATATAAATTTTTAAGCTAATTTTCATGCATGTCAGTGTTGGTGTTCATGTGTGCTAGGAAATTCAGGGAATTAGAGTAGTAGATCATTGTCTTAACAGAATACAAAACTTCAACACACTTTGAAAAAAAAAAACAACAAATAATGACATCATAAATTTTTATGTGAAAAGCTTGGAAAGGGAAAAACCACAGGGATTGACTCTGAAGAGTTTTACTATAAAAAGATGATTACAATTACAATCAATTGTCTCACAGGTGGAAAATAGTTGTTAAGTTTTTCAAGTTACAACGTCGACTGTCGGTGACCAATAGCAATTAGTGGCATTCGGTCAACGGTGGTCGAAGGTGATTGGTACTGGTCGACGACGGTTGACGGTAGTTGTCGACCATAAGAGTGTTGGACGATGGCAACATGAGTGGCATTGTACTTTAGTTTCTTCTCAAAATTTTAAGTTATTTCTCAAACCTCAAACTCTCCCCCCTCATGAGAGGGGAGAATCTCTATTATAAAGTTCTGAGTGCAATTAATGCAGAAATATGAGTTACTTTGATCGAACGATTCAAAAAGCTTCCATTGATCATGCGACATTTGATGCATATTTGAGTGTCTTAATGATCTGAGAATTGAGTGATATTGAGCTCATTGAATTTATCTTGTCAATACGCTCGATTTAATTATAGGCTTATCAGAATCTACATTTGTTTCATCTTTCAAATGTGTTCAGAAAACTTTCAGAAACGATTTAATGGCTTGATCTGGGCTTGACATATTAGTCCAATTTTGGTAACATTGGGTTATTTCTGTCAAGACGGTCAGCTTGAGTGTAAGTTTGGTGAAATCTGAGTTTTGGATGAATTTTTATCTATCGATGTTTGAATTTTATCGATGTTTGAATATTTCTTGCTCAAAAAATTATCTCGAGATCTGTGTCATGCCTCTAAATTCATGTAAGATGATGGGATTTTGTTGAAGGCATATCAAGTGTAAAGAAGTCGAGTTAAGTTCAAGCTTGAGCTTAAATCTACAAGTTCAAACTGACTAATGAGCCAACTTATTTATTATAAAAGAGAAACCAATATTATTTTAAGGTAATGTTATAATTAAATAATAAAAAACTATGAGATAAATTAAAAAAAGTTATCATTTGATATATAATATGATTTTTTAAATATTTTTTATAATTTAAATATTGAAACTTACTAGATTTTCAGTATATTTTATATTAATATGTTCCTAAACGAGTTGACTCAAGAGGTAATGGATCGAGTCAAGGCTGGCACGCGTTTGAATTGTTAGCTCATTGAGCTTAGCTCACACCGGTTTTCGAGTTGAGCCTACACACCACCCAATTCCTACCTATTAACATCTTTAAGAGTTTTTCATTGCACTAATTCTATGACCTACATACATTATTACAACTACTAATTTTGGCTTCTATCACCTATGAATGTTATCACATTTCCCAATTATGACTTATGTGGCTCATAGCTCCCAACTCCGACCTTTGCAACGAATAGACTTTATAACAACTCTCATCTTTGGTTTCTTTGCCCTATGAATATTATCGCAGTTCATCACTACGCCTTGTATTACCAACTATAACTTATATGTCTCGCAACTAATGCAGTTTCAACTCCGTCTGGCTTTGGACTATGAACGTATTGTAGTTCCCAACTCCGGCCTTTGTGGCCTAAGGATATTATTGCAACTGAACACTACACGCTATGCTCCCAACTACGACATACTTGAATCGCAGCTCATACAACTCCCAATTATAACCCTTGTGACCTACACAAGTTAATGTTGTTCCCCAGTACGATCTATATGGTCGAATATTATCATTACATCCCTCTACTACGACGGTTGTAACCAACAGGCAATATCACATCTCACTATTATGACCTCTGTGACAAAATACGACTTAAGTAACTGACAACTCATATAAGTTTAAACTACAACCTACAAGACTCACTACTACTGCAACTTCCAACGACAACCTTGGCGCTCAACTAATACCATTACAACTCTCCACAATTACTATTGTGGTCAACCGATAATTCTGAAGCTCTCTACTACAACCTATATAACTACCTACTACTACGACTTTCAACTAATGTCTATATGATACGCCAAGACTAATACAAACACCAAGAACTATATTTGTTATAGCTCACTATTAAAATGAGACCATTATTGTACTTTTATGGCTGTACTTTTGTAATTTGGTCTTCTCTATTTCTGGAGTACTCATAAATTTTTTTCTTTTCAATTTTCACACAAAAATCTGGGCGTTCATCCCTGTTATTATTATTATTATTGTATCTACGTATTAAATATTGATGTAATTAAGACGTTAATTTGTTAATCCTCGGTCATGAACGTTCCGCACATGACAATGATGACAAGAGCTCCCTATAATATTGTAAATCGATCCCACAAACGTGGAATTTAGAGTAACGCCGAATTCACACGAGGGCGGCGGCGGCTGCAATGTCATACCATCGCTGACGGCTTAGCCCTTCTCAATCTCTCTATAAATCTCAAACCTCTCGCCTTTCTCCCTCAACAAACTCCCCCCTTTTTCATAATTTCTTCATTTTCTAGATGCCTCCGAGAAGCAAACTCCACTGCGCCGCCGCTGCCGAGAAGGAGACACAATTCCGGGGAGTGAGGAAGAGGCCCTGGGGTCGATACGCCGCCGAAATCCGCGATCCTGGGAGGAAGATAAGAGTATGGCTCGGCACCTTCGATACTGCGGAGGCGGCGGCGAGGGCTTACGACGCCGCCGCCAGAGAGTTCCGAGGATCTCGCGCAAAGACCAACTTTTCTTTCTCCGATGCGGAGCACGAATCAAGCGGAGCCGTTCCCTTCGATCTCAACCGCGGCGGCGACGCCCGGTTTATGTTCCGCGCTTTTCGGAATGAAATGGCTGCGGCGGCGCAGCCGTTGTATTTCTTTGGTAACTTCCGACATAGCGGCGGCGCAAGGTTTCTTTCCCGGCGGGACGGAAGTATTGGACACGTCAGCAGTAGTTGATTCGAGACGGCTTTCGCCGGCGTTGAAGATCTGTTCGTTGGGTATTGATCTGAACCTTCCTCCACCGGCAGAGATCGCCTGAACGTCGCCGGAGCTATTTATTATTATTATTAGAGTCTAAAGATTGGAAAAAGGTTGTATTTTTCCTCGCCGGCGCCTTAATTTTTATTTGGCCGAGCAGAAGAATTAGAGTTTAACTGTTCATTTTCTTGAACTGGGGATGAGTACTCTTTATTTATGTGTAATTATTGGATAAGAATAATCTCCTTATTTTTAGGTGCTTTTACATACATTCAACCCAAAACTTTCATATTTACGTATCAAACACCAAAACTTTTATAATTTGAAACATATTATAAAAATTTGCACTCATTATCATCTTTTAATAATAAAATACATATTTGACTCATTTGCTTATCGAGCTGAACACGAACTATTTACGAACAATGACCCATTTTGACAACTCTAGTCACACAGCCCTAGAATGTTAAAAATGGGATTATATTTAAATCTTATTATTTATATCAAAATATTCATTTATATAAAATTTAATAATTAATAACTTTGTAGCCTTGTAATCAATTAAATTATTTAAAATTTTTACTCATTAATTAATTAATTAATTATATATAATTTGATTATTTCCAGCCAAAACGAGTCGAACATGAACAAACAAAAAACGAGTCGAACATGAACAAAGAACAAACAAAATTTTGTTCGTGTTCAGCTCGTTTATATATCTAAGTGCAAAAAAATTGTTCGTATTCAACCTATTTGTTTAGCGATCAAATCGAACACGAGTTACTTAACGTTCCAAATATAAACTAATTACTAAAGATGTATGCACTTTTTATATCATAATATTCACCCTTAATATATTAATTACAACTACAAATATTTCAAGTCCCAAAAAGTTTGAATCTTAAAACTATTTAATGATAGAAATTTTTAATCATTTGCGCTCTTTGTGCATTAACAATGACCTCACATAGCGACTATAAGCTAAGGCCCCATCAATCATAATTTTATTTAACCAACCAAGTTATATTCTCTTTCATCTTGTGATATATAAAAATTGTATTTAGCTCTTAGAGGTCTCCATTCTCCAAAGATGAACCACATTAAGTTGGCAATTGCCCCCAGTAAAATTTACCATTATTTTTAATATAAATAATAAAATTTATTATTGTTTTCTTATTTAGTGTTACATGTTATGTAATTAATTATTAAGCTGTGAAATAAGTATGGTACAATGATTTTGAAGGAGAATGGTTAGAAAGAGATTGGCACATCACAAATTACGTTACAAATTCAGGGTCTTTTTGGGGCATGGTGCATTGACGGAGTGGCACCACAACACAATTTTCTCTTTGAGTAAACTATATTTTGACAGCATTTTCAAAAAACTATCACTGAAATATGTGTTTTACCACCGATCCCGACTAGGTGCAGTGACAGTTTTCCCAATTGTCATCTGACATTTATAAATTAAATTAAATTAAATTATTAGTCATCACAACTTTTGAACATTTGATCATTCTTCAGTAACTTCACAAACCCCCCCCC